CTGTGTCACATGGGTCTTTGTGTTAAGAAGTGTTTAAACCTATCGGCTAACATAAATATAACTTTTTTTTCTTTTTAGAACGTGTAAGTCCATGAAATCCAATTTTTTCAAGCGTCATCATGTATCACTTTTTTTCACGTGTGATTAGACACGAAATGCTTCGAGAGTTTTAGACAGTGTAATGTCAATTGAAGCTTTGTGAAATTGTCCAGATTCTGCACCAGAGAACAGATCAGACTTAATGAGTAGTGAGATACTGCTAAACCAATTTCACCGTGAAAACTCTTCTAAACAGCTCGTCTAGACTGTATTATGTATTATGTATATATTCTCCAAACCGAGAACTCACAAATGTGTCGATATGCATAAAGTGCGATGATCACACTCTTTTTCCTTCATGTGTCTTGATAATATTCTTCGAATGTGATATGTTGATATATCATGTGAGAGCTACTGAAATGGATCTATAGTAGCCGACTACCGAGTTTAAAAAGCTGAAGTTAGCAGCAATGGCAGGTTTCTATTGACGACTATCACTTTTCGATCAAGAAGGATTTAACTGTGTGGCAAATTAAACCTAGCACTGTCGGGGATACTTTCTTGATAATATTTCAGATAATTTGAAAAAGTAAGCAAAAGTACTTTGCTTTTATACAGCGTATCCAAGCATATTTTCAAGTTCTAACTCTGAGAATTCATAGTGTGCTTGAGTGATTTCCATAGGCATTGTACCGCACAAAAAAAAATTTGAAAAAATAAAATTCCGAAGGGAAAAACTTCGAGTCATACAGTCGATAGAGCTATGTCGATCGTCTATAGAAACACAATTTTCCAGACACTTACTTACACTGCTGACGAAAAAAAGTTTTCATCACGGAAGTTTTAGAATAACGGCACGGCGAGATAACTCTGCTACCGAAGTAAAATTCTGTGATGATTTTTGGCATTTTGTTTCTCTTATAATTTTTGAAGGGCGAGAAGCCCAGAACTTTACGACATCTCGGATTAAAGAGAAAAGTATGCTAAAGATTTTGAGATGTTCCCAAAGTCTACACATTCTTCTGTTCAAAAGCTATGACAAAAACACAAACATCTACTTCTTGAACGTTATCCGAAAAAGTAGGTATTTGTATTTTCGTCATAGCTTTCGAATAGAAAAACGTGTAGACTTTGGGAACGTCTCAAAGTCCTTAGCACACTTTTCTCTTTAATCTGAGATGTCGTAAAGTTCTGGGGTTCTCGCCTTTCAAAAATTATAAGAGAAACAAAATGCCAAAAACCGTCGTAGAATTTCACTCCGGTAGCAGAGTTATATGACCATGCCGATAAGTAACCTCAGTTAAAGTTTAATTGGCCACTGAAGTCGGGTTACCCCATTGCATCTGTGCCCAAAGGTACCGAGACAATGAACATTAGATAGCTTGTCCAAGACTATCAGGAGACTGCCGTTGCCGGGATTCGAACTCCGTATCTTTAAAGTACTTTGTCTGCCCGCTAGCCGACTGAGCCACGAAATATCGTGTTAAACACCAGTCGATAGAACTTGATGAGCTGAATCGAATGACATAATGTTTGAATTTTTTTTAGTAATTCTACAAGATAAAAATTTAGAAAGACTTTTAGACTTGATTTCTGAAGGTTCTCGAGATCTGTGAGACCCGAATCAACGTGTGTTCATGCAAAACTAAGTTGGCAATTAGATGTTCCTTTCAAAGACGAATCGACTGTTATATAATAGACTGAGATTTGATCAAGTCTTGATAGAATTACGGTCAATTTAATGTCGGTGGACATTTTGTTGTATTTTTCGCTTTTCTCATAAACAATAAGGCTTTTGAAGCTCGTTGTTTCAGCAATAGCTTAGCTATAAGAGCAAAAAATATGGTAAACGTTTCCCATCAAAAGGATGATTTAAACGAAAGATACAAACAAACCAGAATTCAAAATGTCGGTGGGTAAAGTGTGTGAAAATGGCCATTTTTGAAAAAACATCGCTAGCTCCTTTCTCAGTACGGATTTCCCATCACTTTTTCTGCTGGAAAGACCATGCTTTCACGTCTCTATCGCTTGGCACTAATCTCAAATCTGTATCACAAAATATCACTAAGAACCAGCAAATTTGATGTCGGTAGACAAAAAAATGAAGAATGTCTTTAGTGGTACTATTCACGATCTTTTGGCGGTTGTTTTGATTTTAATTCAACCTGGATATTTCGAAAATCTAAAGTTTACGCTACAAATCATATCAAGAAACTAACCAGCAATATTTATTCATCTTGGAGAAAAAGAAAGTTTTCTTTCGGAAGGTGATTCCAAAATACGAGATTTTTCAGCTTCTTAAAAACATAACTCCGCACCCAAATGAGATAAAAATTTTATATTGTCAGAAGTGAACAATCAATTAAAAATTAAACTAAAAATTAAAAATAAATCTGAAAATCTGTCGTGTAGAACAGTTTTATGATCAAAACATATACAGAACAACAATGGTGCAATGACTATGCAATTCACTCGCTTCCTTTTCCGTAGAAAAATATCAAAATTAAATTAAAGTAAGACGAAGATATTGAATAGAAAATACTTATCGTATTAGTATCTACTTATTCACAATAAGATTGTTGAACCATATAATAGTTCGCCTTTGAACTTTTGATGAATAATTTCCAGACACTTCTAGTATTTAGTAAAATTTTCAGTCAAATTAATGTTCGTATACTGCGTTACGATTTCTTTATCAATACTAACGTCTAATTTCAAATGTGATCGAGTATCATACAATGGCTGTATTTTTGTCTACCTTAACAAAAAATTTTATCAGCTATTTGAACATAATGGCACGAAGAACAAGATTCTGACGTCATTTTCATATGACTTTTTATTTATTTCATTGGCGAATAATTTAATTCGAAATTTTTGAATTCGATGTTTTGCGTTCACCGGTTCGTTATATACATAGCAAACATCGTCTATCCTAATTCAATTCTTCTTGGAAATAGATTTGATGAAGTTGAGGGAATTTTTTTCAAGTATTTTGTATCGACATTTTCATAACTTTTTGAATATTTGAGTCAATTTCGATAAATGTAGTAGTTGATGATATTCAACAGAATAGTTCATAAATTTTTACCTTTAACTAAACAGTAACAATTTTTAAGGAAGTTAGCAGTATGAACACATAGATAGGGTGGACTTAGAAGTCTTGAAGTATTCACTTTTCTATTAAATTTTTATCCATATTGACTTGCATTTAAAATTTTAATTATTTAGCTTAAAAGATAGAGAATATAATTCTCTAGAAAACTGTTAATTATATTTTGAAATTATTTTCAAAATTTCAGCAGAATATTCACAATATAAAAATATTCTAAGTTTCTAAAATGGCACAGAATAAACTTAACTTCTTTTTGTGAAGTGTTGCTGATCTCTCAGTTCAATTTTCAGATAATTATTTTAACGTTAAAAGATGCAGAATTTTACGCTGTACAATCTGACACTCTTTGTGTTAAATGATTATTTTTTTTCGTGAGAAAGAAAGCCCTAAATTGACTGACTTACATAGAAAATTCGTATTATCAGTATTTTGCTCTTAAACTCAAAATTTAAAGCCATGCATTTGATATTAGAAGATACAAAAGTTCTCACATTACAAGATCACATTCACCAGAAAATAAAATTATAAATTTAATTTTAAAAGTGCAAAATAATATTAGTTGATTCTCCTAAACTTTTTATGAAACTTTCATGAAAAACTCGTTCAAGAACCATATTGACCTAGACGAATTTTGCTTTGTCACATGAAGTATGAAACTTTGTACAGAATTTAATGGTGTATTGTATTTTGATTAATAAATCTTTTTTTTAAGTCAGATACGCTAAGAAGAACTCCAGTTGGATAGATAATTAGTGTTCATAATGTGTCATTTTAGTATTTTTATTTCTGCACTGACGATTCAAAATTAATGTCAAAATAAAATCGACAGTTTCCAAAAGAATTGACTTTTCTATCTTTTCAGCTAAATATTAAATTTTTAAGTGCAAATCAAGATGGATAAAAATTTAATAGAAAAAGTTAGAAATACTAAGTATTTTCGTGAGAAGACGGGATCGACAATTCATTTTCAAAACCTACCGGAAAAACTGGACAAAAAATTTAGTAAGACAAGTGAATCTACCCTGATATTGTCGCCACTAAAATCTATTCATTTGATCTCATATTATACAAAGAATTACAAATTGGTCGCGTGTTGGCTATTGGCACTAATAAAAACAAGATTTGTCACGATCCTTTTGAAGTTTTTCCGCATCTGCCTTGTATTGGTTGCATGTTGATTGATAGGGACATTCTAGAAAAAGACATTTATTTATACTTTTTCTACATTTAATGAGCACAGCAAGCTAATTCCTGAATAACATCACTTTGTATTGAAGAAGTCTACATTTATCAACATAGATTGTCTTTTGACAACAATTTTGTAAGACTGTTGATTATTTTATTTAATATGAAAAAACTGAAAGTTCAACGATTTGAAAACTATTGCTAGAATTAAAATGCCGAAATACTTGTTGACCTTTGACTTTGGATATTTAGTACTTTCTTAAAAGTCACGATCTCAATTTCACTCATAAATCAGAATGATATAGTATATATTGTTTATTTACCCCTCCCTTTATTACGATTACTTTTTTTTCTCAAAAGAAAAAAGAAGTCGAAATATCTTTGATTAACTTTGTAACATTATTATCTACGATCTTCCAATTTTCTTTTCTCAAACAAAATAATTGTTTCTAAATTCTCTAAAAACATGTGTCTTTGTGTTAAAAACTTCTTTTTTTCTACTTAAGTAATACTCGTTAATGGAACAATATTAAATATTCACATTAAATTTAATATATAACACTCTTTTAACTTTATTCTTTTTTTTCTTACTCTACATCGTATAACAGACACAAACAAAACAAAAAATAAAAAATAAATAAATGCATAAAAATATAAAATAGAATCAACTTTCTAATAAAGTATGCCATCTTGTTATTGTTTCACCATTAGCATTACGCATCGAATCCCAATGAGCCATTTGAAGATCTCCATTCACATCCTGACCTAAACAATAATTAAAAAAGAATAGATGATAGATAATTGTAAGAAATATTTATTCATACCAAATGCAATCCATCCAAGTGGTTCACTTTTTCGAATATTTTTCTTATTCAATATTGTTATTAATAATGTTACTGTATCTAATGAACTTTCTTGAATATTAAATGAATATCGTTCAGCAAATACTGGATGATATTGACATCGCCTTGTAACAGTACGATTTGATATCATTTCATCGCCATTCAAATTTAGAAGACTAATTTTAGCACAAGTATCTAAAATAGACAACAACAATATTCTGATTTACATCGAGTTAAGAGTTCTAATTTTCTCAATTTTTCTCTCTCTCTCTCTCTCTGAAAAAAGACGTGACTGTACCTGGTGCTCTGCCTTGTGTTTTAATACCAAAATTGATACCTCTTCCAATTTCTACAATGAGATAACTTTGTGTTCGATCATACGCTAAACCCAATTCGATTTCAGCATTTTGAGATTGTGATGCTGTAGATGAATTTCGACGAAGCGATTGACCACTTGGTGGACTATGAACACCAGTACCTGAATCGGATTCTTCTGGTATCTAACCAAAGAAAAGATATAATTAAGTTTTAGAAAAAAATTGTATATTATTACTTACATACAACATTGACTTGGGTTCAAATGTTATCAATTTACACATATCTTCTTCAAGATTAGTTAATCCAAACATAACAGTTGCTTCTCCAAGTAGTCGTTGTCGTTTTAAACGTTCATTGACATATAAACGAAAACGTATACCTTGATTTTGCATTGTTTCTATATAAATATGAAAATAAAATGAATAAATATACTAGATGTATGTTTTTTAAATTATTTGATTTCATCTATTACCTGGTGAAACTTTACAAAAAAATTCTTCTGCAAACATTGCATCTTCCCATTGTTTTGATCTTGTTCGAAAACGAATACGTTTATTAGGTAAAACGGTTAAATGAATTTGTACTAATGTTTGTTTTGAAAATTTTTTTATTGTTTCAAAATTTGCTTTAATAACAAATACCCACATTTTACTTGTTTTAACATCATATTTCAATCGAACTTCTAATGCACCTGATATTAATGTATTATTTGAATTACCACTACCACATTCACTTGTTACTGATGTAGAATCCTGTTAGATGAACAATAATTGATTGATAGATGATAATTGAAGAGAAATGAAAGAATATTAGCACTTACATTATCGACACTGTCAGTACTAATTTTACTTATTCGATTATGTTTCATTGTATGATATAAAACAGGCGAGTTATTAACAGAAAACTAAAATATAGAAATATTTATATGTATGATACGTAATAAGTGACAAAAAAAAATTCATTCATACTCTTCCATTAGGTGAAACGGATTTTCTTCTATTATCAATTAAACTTAATGATCGTCGTTTAGTAGCATCTTGTTCATCGATTAATGTTCTACGACGATCGAGTCTTACAGTCGAATTTTTCCTTGTAACTAAAGACAAATATTGTAGATTAATTTTAGGGTTGATCAAGTTGCTTAATTTACTGTACAGTCAACATGAAATAGACTGACGGTCAATATTTTTTTTTGCCTGAATGATACTCTTTTTTCTTTGTTTATATGTTTCGAACTCAAATCGATTAGATCGTGATCATTTCTCTATCAAACTCATTTTGCCATGAGTCCTAAACGTAAATTTGATAAAAAATTTCTCCGATTATCACAAAACAACGATGAATTATTCATAATAGATTTTTAGAGTCTATTTCTGTCTACAAAATAAGAGGTTTCTCAACTCTCTACTTCGAATTTTATAGGATGAACAAAGAAAAAAAATAGGACTGTTACTCAATCTTCTTGAATAATTCATTAGTATTCACATTAGAACCTTATGATGTGATGGTATGAATCACGTGCGAGAAGCAAACATATACCGTAAAAAGAAATGTTACTTTCTAGTTCTTTTCTACATTAACGCGGTTCCCCTATATTATGTGTTTTGTTATATTTATTTTTGTGGAAATCCTATTTTTGAAACGGATACAGATTAATGTTCTTTCACATCGACATAGTCAGGAATTCTTCAAGTGCAAAATCTTCTTCTTCTTCTTCTTTTTTTTTTCTCACCTGATAAATGGAAGAAGCTATTTATCTTATCATTTTTTTTTTACAAGATTTCTAAATTTTATAACAAGAAATATTTGCTAAAATTTTCTAAAAATAATGCATGAAAACTTCTAAAGATGCCCATTTATAAAAATATCAACTAATATCATAAAACTATTTGAACATACCTTTTTCTAATTCATTGTCTGGTCTTGTTTCAACAATAGGAGGTATTGATGGTAATTTACGACTAGTACCAGCACCATTTGAAACATTTTTTGGCGCTAATCGTTCCGTAGAATAATCATCATCCGGTAAGCTGTCTAAAGAAAAGAACGAATTAAAAAGCTCTTTTATTTTCTAGAAGAAAAAAAAATCTGTCAAATAGAAAACATTTAAAAAAATAAAAATATATATATATATCAACTAACTATTACTAAAAGATGCGGAAATGACAATTGAAAGGTAGTAAATAATAAATATTGACAAAGATTAGATTATGAGAAACAACGCAGTTGTCACTAATCTAGTTCAATTTTTGAATAAATAATTATTAGAAGCTTTAAAAATTTATTAACATATTCTATTTTAGAAAATGCATTTGATCCGTTATTTTAGTATATCATAGAGGGTTTCTTTTTTTTTTTTGTTAAAGCAGATACATGCACATCTTTGCCAAAAAACCTACAAAGAACACAAAACTAATATTTGATAAATATAAAAGACAACATATGAAATACACAAGAAGAACTTTTTAATTTCCCCAATGATTTACTGACATCTATTTTTTTTAAACATAATTGATATAAAGAGGGATAAAAAAAAACAAAAAAAAAACGAAGCTCACAACATTCAAAAAAAAAAAATATATATACTATCGTATCTTTAATCTTACGTAAAAATGGATAATAACACATGGTAAAATTCGTCGATAATTATTGAGATCGAGCGTATACAAAAAATAAAATATATATGTCGATAGACACAATGGAAAGAAATTCGTGTTTTTTTTGTTTTTTTTTATCTACTGCATTAATTCTGAAATAAAATAGAATGTATATAAGAAGACAAAATAGACTTTTGACTATAGATGACTGATCACGCACATTCCATCTCTTATTTAATTAAGATATATGAGTATTAAGAATCAACTAACTTTTTAACGTCTAAACTTACCGTTGAAAAATATTTACTTTGTTAAATTGTTAATAATTTTTATGTGAGAAAAATGAAACTTTCGTTTCAATTGAACGTGCTAATGTTTTTATTCAACGAAAATATCTATATCTATTTCAGATATTCATCTTACAACTTGACAACAGGATTTCCTTCATATGTTCCTATGTGTTAGAAATTTTCAAGTGTTTTTTCTTCTTTTTTTTTTATTTTTGTCTTCTTCGTCTATCTTATTTTCTCAGTTTTTTTTTTTTTTTCAATTTTACTTACAGTTTACGTGCAGATAGATAGATATATACTTTGGTCAAAACTTTGAGATGACTAGGACAATAAATGAGAATGTGGCAGAAAAATGATAAGGAAATACAAATGTTAATGAACAAAAAAAAAAAAAAAAGTCTTCTTCGTGCGACAATCATAACATAGTGCATCCAATGAACAAAGAAGAAGAGGAGAAGAAGAAGAGGAGAAGAAGAAGAGAGAGAGAGACAGAGAGAAAAATGAGTCAAGTGAAAAATAACTTGACAAGAAATTATTAATGAATGATGAAATATCTGCATACCTGAAAAACTCTCACGTATTAATTAAGATGAAAAAAGAAAAGCTCTCTTAAGAAGCACTTGATAATATGCTACCATTGGGGTGTCATACATCTATGACTTTTACTAAATTAATAAAATATTTTCTTCAGTCATCATCTCTCATGAGTTTTCCAAAAATTCATTGACCTGTTAAATTTTTTTCTTATAATTTTTATTCTTCAGTTTGAAACTTACTTTTTTTTTAAAAATTCTTTTTCTACAAACTAAATGTGTTCACTGGTTGATTTTGATTAGAAAATTTTCCACTTCATTATGGACTAAGTGCATAAAAAAGCCCGTTAAAAAACAAAAAATATATCACAAAAAAAGGATGTATGAAATTTTTACCTGAAGTACTACGAATAGAGAGACAAGTGCAATTATACTATTATTTATATTTTAAAAGTTGTTGCATTTCTTAATATTTCTTTTTTTTTATAATTGAACTTTGTCTAGACTCAAAATTCTTCAAAGAAAAATACTTTATCCAAACAAGCTATTGCTAATATGATTAATAGAAACAATAATTGTCACATAATTCAAAAATGCAAGAGCAGATAATGATATGGTAGTAGATGGTAAATTATTTTTACATAAAAAGCGATCTTTCGATACTTCACAGTATCATCATCAGACTAATATGACTGTCGACTTTAGAAGAGAAATAATTATATATACTAGTTGAAATAGGAGAGAATGAAAACACTAGAAAAATTTTAAAATAGAAAAATATATAGTATAGAATTTAGTCTTTTTTCTAGTGTTTTCGTTCTCTCCTGTTTCAACTAGTATATATAATCATTTCTCTTCTAAATTCGACAGTTATATTAGTCTGATGATGATATTGTAAAGTATGGAGCAGCTCGCTTTTTATGTTAAATGATTTTACAAAAAAAGATTTTTCAATTATATTAAATATACTTAGTTTTATAAAAATAAAAAAAAGACACGTAAAAAAGGCAAAGAATGTCAATACAAATGCTAAAAAAAAGAAATTAATTGTTAGGAATGTTTTATGAGGAAAAGTATCTATTTCAAAAGACTTAGGAAGAAATCTGGTATGCTTCTGATTCTCAGTTCGTTTTCCAATAGGTTTGTAGGAACCGTTTCTCTATAGATTCGTTGCAGACTGTCAAATAGACACATTCTGATCTGTTTACTTTACAAAATTCATCAAATTACTTATGCATACAAATTTCCAGGCCTAAGGATAGCGTTTTAAATTTAATATTATCAAATTTTAATTTATTTCAAAGAAACCTGAATTTTTTCTCTTTTCTTTATAGTAAATACTTCATGAGTCGACTACAACTTCTTCGGTTGTTCTAAAAATTTTTATTTGAATGTGACTCAATGAGCTCTACAAAGTGAGCAGATCAACATGTGTTGTAGTAGAAAATCGGTAACGGATCTACAAACACCAGTCTTCTATGGACTCGTCGAACAATAGTCTTAGAATCCAGATAAAGACCAAATTTAGAATCATCATATAAAAATACCTCTATATTTCGAGAAAAAAAAGCGAGAGAGAACATTTGGAACGGTTTCCTTATTAGATGAGAATTTTGGTGACATGATTTCCCAATTATTAACTTGATGACGTCTGTTTAGAGCAAGCAATTACGTTTTTCTATAATTAGTTATAACATATGAGGTTTTGTCTACATTAATTGTGTATTATGTTCATTACTGTCAGATTAAAAATATTTTACAATTTCAGAAAGAAACTCTAATTTGTATATATTTTTTGTTTGCTTCTACTAAAGCCATCTTGCTGTACTTCTTTTGAAAATACTTTCTTATTATTAGAAGCAGTAGCCTCTCCCTTTTCTTCTAAATAGAATAATTATAGAATTTCATAATAATACAAGCCGATAGAGAAAATGTCTAAATCTTTCCTTCTACATTTAGAACGTTGTCATGTCTTAATATATTCTTACTAGCTACAATACTTGTTGTATTAGTCATATTTGTCATTCAAACAGGCATCAGATGGTAAGACATATTCTGATTATTATGACTCCAATAGGAAAGAGGAACAACATACAGTCCGTTGTCATCATTTGCCACTTATCTATTTTTTATTTCGGCTAAAATCTGTTGAACATAATGAAGGTTTTGTGCATTCTACTGCTCTGCAAAAATATGCAGTGCTAACCACGTTTATCTGCTTTAGTCAAAAAAAATGTAACTTTACCTAGAATTTCTACATGAAAATTGAAAAACTTTTCTTTTTTTTTGCAGTCCTCCTATCACTCATTCCAATTAGATATCACTGGTTAAAATCTTGGCGTACAGATCCATACATAAGCAGGAAAAAATCCGAGATTACTTTTCTTTTCGCCGTGAAAAAGTTTAGCTAAAGTTTAGCATCTTTTAGAAATGTAATAAAAAACAGCTTTAAAATGTTTCATAATAGCGTCAAAAATAGCCTGATCATTCGTCATTTTGCTTTTGAATGTTTACCTAAGTATTCTTAATAAAATTTTGAAATAAGCCAAAATTAGATTCAAACTGGCAGAGAAACACATTTCTACTTATCTATGGCTGTTCACGAATTCATAAGTAATCTTGGAAGTTTTAGAATTGTTACAATTCAAACTTTTACTTATAAATGACAACCTAAGTACAGCTGTTTTGAAAGTTACATAAATAAAAATTTGATATTCCGAACTCACAGTTTTCACTATCAACTACATATCAATGAGTTACTCATGATATTGACGTATGAGTCAAATTTAAGCACTACAGTACGTTCAGTTTTATTATTCATATATCCTAATGGAAATCCCAGATGGTTTCTACACTATCCTAGAGAGGATACTTCTTCATTTTAACTCAATCATCTTGACATCATTTTTCTTTTAGTTTTTTTTTAAATGGCACTTTGTAACTCTACTCACCAGACTTTCAACATTTTATTTTTATTTTCTTGATAGTGAAAACTGTACTTTTAAAACATCGAATTAGTTGATCGTTATTAATTAATTTGTTTTATAAAATTCAAAAAAGTTATGATTACGTTGTAGTATTCCTAAATGCATACAAAAGGTTGAAATCGTTACCATTTTGTCTATTATTTTATATTTGTATCATTCCTAATTGTCAAAAAATTTTATTACAACAATGATCATGTAAGAAAATGTTACACAAATGTACAAAAAACTGACAATTTTACATTTTTGGTAATAGACCAGTTTTGGCTATTTCATCTCTTAATTGTCTTATTTGCATTTGTTGCATTGGTGGTAAGTGCGCTAATTGAGAATCATCGAACTGTAATAATAACAATGCCGCATTTTCATCAATATTTCCACTTCGCTGTAATGGATTATTAAATTGTTGTTGTTGTTGTTGTTGTTGATTTAAATTAAATGTATGTTGTGATTGAATAGGTAGTGGAGGAGGTGGAGGTGGAGGAGGAAGCAATCCTCCTGGAAACATGCCATTCATCATTGCTGCTTGTAAAAATGCTTGTTGTTGAGGTAATCCACCTGACAAAGGCATTAGATTTGTTAACATATTTGGAGGAATTAATGGATTCAATGAAAATGGAAATGTGGGTGCTGTTGGTAATATTTGTTGTGTGTTTGTATTAACGATGGGCTGTAGTGGTGGAAGCGGTAGTGGTGGTGGTGGTGGTGGAGTGATCGATTTCTTCTCTTCAACAATGTCCGTCTTTGGTATTTCCTTTTCTTGTCGATTCAATAGTGCCATAGCTACTTGAGGATTTACTATTCTCATTACAACTTGTGCTTGTAATAGAGCATAGGCTAATTGAGCATTTGTTGATAATAATGTTTTTGCCTCATTTAGATTTGCTTGAATACACTGTTTCATTTGTTTCATTAGTTCGAACATTTGTGCTGGTGGTAAACTAGCGACAGCGTTACTGATTGATTCTGGTTCTTCTTGACGTGTACTTGTCGATGGTGGTGCTGCAGATGTTTGTTCAACAACAGGCTGAGGTAGAGAAACGATTGGAACGGCGGATGACGCTAATCGTGGGTCAGCTTTTTGTGTCATTGGCGGTGGAGCACATAATTTTTCAAATAATTGAATAATTGCTTCGGGTTGCTTCGCTAATAAATCAACAACTAATCTATAACCGGCTAAATCGAGTCCATTCAATTTTCGAATAGATACCTGTGCAGCATCTATACTTGAAAATTCAGCAAAGGCATAACCACGTGATGTTGAACGATCATTAGGATCATTTGTTTGTGATGGTGAATGATCAAAAAACATATGAAATGATAATAATGGAGAAAATTTTAATAATATTTGACGAAATATATCTTCATTTGTACCAGCTGGAATATTTTGAACAAATATTGTTCGAACAAAACGTTCAACATGAGCTGGTAATGGAGGCATCATATATTTGTTTAAGTCAAAGTATTATGATCTAGAAAAGACGAAAAATTCATCATTTTCATCATATTTTTGTCGAAGGTTAAACCTATAAAACAACAAAAGATGGAGTTAATTTATCAATTTTTAAAAATTATTTTTTGAAAGTCATTCATTCTTTGGAAAATGAGCTTAGAGTGATACTGATTACATTCCATAAACATAGTGATTGCAATCTCTTTAGTTACTTATTCTCGGTGTTCATTAACATTTATTGTCTAGTTCATTTGTTTTCAAAACGTCTTACAAAAAAATCATCTGATAAAATGCACAAATAAACGTTTTTAGATATGATTTCATCCTGTTTGATTAATGAACAAGACAGCAACACAGATTTTAATAACAAGAAAGAATTTTAATAGTGCCCAGTGGCATACTCCGGAATTTCTCAAGGAGTAGGCCAACTTACTAAATATTTGTACGTATAGAACGAAAACATTTTCTCCTCGATGGACTATGAGTGCAATTCCTCGGAGGGGTGAATTATGGCCTTCACCTTGCTCGGTACTGAGTACGTCGTTGTTAACGATCTATGGACATGTCTTAGATTAAAAAATATACAGATAGATTGTCTGTTGACCTCTAAATAGATAAAGAAATCGTGTTTTCTTTACAGTTGTGTATTTTATTTTACATATGAAAGAAAAAGAATGACCTGAAGAAATTAGTTTCACAAATGTGGGACGAAACTTTTATCTATTAGAAAAATATATGAAAAACATGCTATAATTTTTAAAGTTTGACTGTTCATATTTCGAAAACATCCTTTCTACTCATGCAATGTGACTTTATCGGCTGATGTTTGATCTAACAAAATGTGTTTAGTGTTTTTGTATCATTTATTTATTTATTTCGATCTGTAAACTGTCACGTTTTTTTCCATTCGTCAATAAACAGGAGTTAAAAACATCAAATTTATTGATTGTTTCAATGTTCGAATAACTACATTCCGTTGGCAATTTGAGTTTGTTCACACTAACTTTAAGATATTTGTCTGTTGTATTCTAATAATAATTGATAATAATATTTGATGGAATAATTAATTTAGATAAATAAATAGAAGAGTAATGACGAACGATATATTTCACTTTTGTCATCGTTATCCCGCGGTATACATAGCTCAAATCTATTTTGATAATTAAATTTGATACTAAATAATTCTCTAATACATGTAAAGATTAATGTGTTATTTGATCATTCATCATTGAAAGATTACTTTCTATCGCAATGAATTCTGACGCATTCAGAGACTTATCTTAAATGAGAAGAAAAGGGATCAATTAAATATGAGTCGATTTATGTATGACAGGCATAATATTTCATACGATTTACAAAGTGAGAGGTATCCTTTAATTATCAAGATGTCGATAAAATTAAAAACTGATCAATAATTCTCTTTCAATAATAGAAATCTTATTTGTATTATGTAACTTGCATTGAGAACTGAGACATTCTCATCTACTTGTATTCAATCTAGAGCAAGTCGTGAAATGTGTTTACTATAATGACATAAAATTTCAGTTGTATTTCAAATGAAATAGGTGAAATAATAAATATAGATCAACGAATTCATCATTATGTGTTATACAAATTCAGCATTTTTTTCCATATTGAGTCCAGAAGATGTAAAACGACATTTGAACAATTCGAGGAATAGAAACTACGTTCAAATGTTGGCGAAATATTATTTTCTAAGAATGTACAATAGTTATTGGTTGTATCCTATGTCAAGAACCTATCGGGTTGCGTCATAATGAATGAGTCTGTCAGTATTTTCTATTTTTCTCGTGTTTCTGTATGATCTTAACGTTAATGTTTTTTTTAAATGATGCGCCGAAAAATACTCTACAAAACCATATCTAAAATTTAATTTCAGAATTCCAATCAAGACAACTACGCAAATTATATGAAAGGCGAAAAAATGAAAACTTCGTAAGGTCGATTTCTTGTGGTCACGTTTTGAAAGTAGGAAAACCTGAGTCATTTCTATACTCTCTTCTTGCGGTTCTTCTCTTTTCTGCGTGGTGGCATTGTATTTACAAGTCTTTGGTTTTATTTTTGCTTTCTTTTGTTACGAGATGTTTTCTTGGGCATAAAATAAACTTTCAATTTCAAGTTCAGCCATTATGTAGCCTTGACTTTGCTCTATCTTTTAGTTACGCTTCACACTTTTTCACATCAAAACCCATGGAGAAATAATCATTTTTCTGCCGGTTGTCACGCTTTTTTTTCATTAATTTTTTAAATTCTAGGTATAGTGATGCTTTCAGTAAAAGTCTCATAACTCCCTCAAAACAAAATCTTTTTCGATCAGGTTTGGGCATATTGTTGGAAACGAGAATTGTCAATTTTTGACGTATTTTTGAAGCTTCATTCTCCAGCACGTCATCTGCTCTAAAAAATCTTTTTTACCGATCACGAGAAAGAGCACATTCAAAAGTACAAAAAGAACTGCGTTCTGACTTTTGCTACACTTTGTTACAGAAATAATAGCAGAAGAAAAAAGTTTAAGTCGAAAAAAATATCAAATTTACGAAATTTTCATTTTTTTCGCCTTTCGTATAATCTGTGTAGTTGCCTTGATTGAAATTCTGAAATTAAATTTTAGATATAGTTTTGTAGAGTATTTCTCGGCGCATCTTTTTAAAAAAAACATTAACCTTAGAGTCCTAAAGAAACACGAGAAACATAGAAAATAGTGACAGGCTCATTCATTATGACGCAATCCGATAATTGTAGAAAAACATTGAGAGGTCATAGGTCAACGTTAACTATTATTAGAGAAAAAGTTGTATGTGCCATAGTAACACAATGATAGTTGTTTATACAATCTTAGATTGAATTCTAGTAGATATGAACGTATAGAAAATATTTCAGTTCTCAGGGTGATCGTATAATACAAAAAAACTTCTGGAAAACAGCAGATAGACAATTTAAAATTTTAGTTAGTAATTTTGTTTCGACATCTGGTATATTTCTGTAAGAAAACAGCATGAATAATGAATGTATCATATCATATTAAGAAAAATATATTTTATTTTTTTATTATCGAGCATCATCATTTTTTTTTCTCAATATTCTTTCATATTTTGTTCTTAAAACAAAAAATAAAAAAATAAAAACAAAATCGTCTGAGTCAGATATAAAATAAAACAAGCACAACGTCTGTATTTTACCAGAGGGTACTGAATCTCTTTTTTTTTTTTCTCGAATAGTGGTACAATCACTGTATCAATAATAACGAAGAATGTAAAAATAAAACCATACAAGAAAAAAATATTGACAAGAAAAAGAGTCGAAATAGACAAAAAAAAATAAGATTATACAGCAGAAAAAAAAAACGGGAGGAATATGATCACAGAACACGCTGATGGTGGTTATGGTTGTTGTTGAGATTTTTTTGGGAGGAAGGGGGGATGGGATTAACGAGCAAATTCCCATTTTGATTGCAATGTAACATTTTGTTCTTTGGATGTTTTATTATCATTTTCATTATTCTCACTTACGCCACCATTATTTTCAACAACATCATCAACAGCAGATGACCATAATATATCGTGTTGTTGTTGTTCTTGACAAATATCATTTGATGACGGTAGCACAGAACAAACAGCATCGAGCGATGGAATTGTGTTTGATGTTAACGAATTAAGACTGATCGTTTCTAATGGACTCCATAACTAAAATAGACATTGAAATTAAAAGAATTGTCTAATTATGTTTAAATGGAAAAAAATACAAAAACTTTCATAGAATAGAATAATTCTCTGTCTACACACATAGATATCATGTGATGAGTGATATCAGACATATGCTCTATCGACACTGCTTATTTACTCATTTTAAATATATTTGACTCTTTTTTATGTGGATAAGTAGCGCATTTTCATTTTAATTTTTGCTTTTTTATTCATTTACGGTTTCTACCTTTGCTTATGAAACTACAAAATTTTCTTTTGTTAACTACAAATATTCAGAACAAAAACTTACATCTTTATTTTTGGTTGTTTCTTCAATCTGTTGTCCAGCTACTGTTTGATTTGTATCTGGAACACATTGCCAAAATAACCACGAATTATTATCTTTTTCATTTTTGTTTGGTGTTTGTTGTGAATTTGTATTTATTTCTGATGACGATGATAGTAGATCATTCCATGGTGATTTTGACGTTGAAAAAATTGTTGGTACTGTGGCGGATGTTGAAGGTAAAATGGGTGTTGACCATACCGATTCACTTGGCCATAGTTTTGATTTCGTTAAATCATCTTCGTCTGTTAGTTGAGTAGGTGTTGTTGGTAGAAAAGTCAAATTTGACTGAGCAGACGAAGATGATGATGAAATCGAAGCAAATGGATTTTGAATTTGAGTAGTCAAAATTGATGGACTATTGACATTTACTGTAGGCCAAGTTGAATGAATTTTTGATGGCCATTCATTAGGAGAAAAATTAGACCATACACCTGGAGTTGTTAAACCACTTGAATTCGCAACTGCTGGTGTTATTCCAACTAACGATTCTTGATGATTAATTATACGATTTATTTGAACTAATACATCAGGCGTTGTTGGTGTTACTTTCTCCGTAGCGAGAAAACTCGTTTTTGCAGTTGATGAGTCATATGATAACTTTGTCGGACGTTGTATTAGACCAGGTGGACGTTGAGGAGTTGTTAGGTCCATTCTAAAAGAGGAAGAAAAGATGTGATTAATTATACTGATACTAATGCGTCATTTCCTTGCTAAAATTACGATTCTTAAATATTTGTAAACTTAGATGTTTATTAAAAAACTTATGCAACGTTCGTAGTGATAAAATAAGGTTTGAACAGTATAACTTAAAATTGTTTTTTTCAAGGGAAACAGATATTGATCAGTTCTGATGTAACTCTTTGTATGAGGTTAATTTCTGATAAGTAATCACGATATCGAGGATTATTCTCTATTATAACTTACTTTTCTCTACTTGATTGATTTGAATTTTGTCTTCCGAGAGTGAAAGTTGGTGTTGTGTACATTGCTTGTTTACCAGTTTTATTCAATCTTCGATCCTGTTCTAATCCAATGGCTTGCGTTGGTATTGACATTAACGATGGAATGTCTCCAATATTATTTGTTTTTTGTTGTTGTTGATGATGTTGTGTTATCCATCCACTATCCTCCATTCTTGGATTTAATTCTTCCACCATTTGTTCAGTTTGTGATGCATATCGACCGAAATCTAAATTAAAATAAAATAAATGTATTTTTATTATTTGAATTATTAATATTAAAAAACGAAAATAAATAATACATAGTGAAAACTAACTTATACAGTCTCCGTTTAACATTATATTTAGCATGTTGAATAAATATACGTGTTGCGTACACGATGAGCTCTTTATATTGAGTTGTTTTCAGCTTTAGAATAAAAAATACATCCTTATTTATACGACAGTTTAATGTACGAGTTAAGAAAGAAAAAAAAGCAGAACAAAAAAAAAATTCCTCACGTGTATTTTTTTTTTTCGTATTCTATCACCTTTGATAAATTGCCAAAATAAATAATGTCAAAAAAAGAAAGACCTTCGCATTTACTGTAATAGTTATGTCTATAAATATATCAGTAACAGGCTGTAATCTTATACTTCCATGTGATAAGCGTATGTATGAGAGAGAGAGAGAGAGAGAGAGAACGTAGGAGGATGCGGTTAAGTATAGAAGAAGAAAAAAGCGAATGGCATGATGATAGATGATTCACACATATTGTCGACACATTGCTGCTGCTACTGTTAACATACTGTATTGGTCACTAGCAAGCTGTTTCATACATAATATTAGCACTAATATTGATAATAGAGAATAAATAGAAAGTAGAAATATTAGCTTAGACACACGCACACAGCGGTAATTCTATCTATACAACACGTGTGAACTAAAAGCATAAAGGTTAAAAGAAAAGCTGTGCAGTAGCAAATCAATTATTAAAAAAATGTTAAAGTAAATTTTTATTCTAATAACCTTATTAATTAATTTAAATTATGCATATAATACATTTGTATTAAATTATTATTACTACTAACGTACCCTCATCGGGTTTTTCAACATCATCCCAACAAATGATATCATCTGTTTCATCATTATCTGAATTTATCACACTGTCAGATGGTGCTGATGATGCTCTTGAACGTGGAACATTTGAATATGGAAAACTATCATCGTTACTATTATTATTCATTTTGTTTGAGACAAAAATAGATGATAAATCTCCAACAGACGTATTATTCACAACATCAACACTATTTCGATTTTTAGAAGTTGTACTATCATCGCTAGATAATAATCTTGTTATCTGATGATGATATAGTTTTTCATGGGTCTGTGATTTTTGATGTGGATATGGAATATTAGATGATTGTAAAGAAAAACGTGGTTTCGTTTGTTGATAACTAGTCATTCGTTGGTCTAAATAGGTAATATTCAAATACTAACGAAAACAAGCAAGGTCACAAACAACAGATAAATTCAAAAGGGTAAACATGATGAGCAATTGATTAAACTAATAAAATATAAATAAGAAAAAACTGACCTAATGTTGTTGTTGCTCTAGGCTTAGTATCATCTGGCTGTTTTGATAAATGGACTGGTGTTGGTTTTTTCTCTTCATGGACTTGTTTTCGTTGTTTAGAACTAACTAATAACCATGATTGATCATTTGATAAGGAATCGGTTGATTTTGAATAATCACGTTGGGCTCGACGTTGTTCACTAATGTCCTGTTGTTCTCTTTGTCTTGATCCGTTGGTTATTACATTCGATTTATTTACCGTTGATGAATCTTTTGTTTTTGTAGAAGATTTTTTTGATCGAGTGGCGACCTAAAAATATTCAATATTCTTCTCTGAACGCACTGATTTAATATCGACGATGAAAATTATCCTAAATTCAATCATTTACCACAAATGAGTCGTCATAATTATCCGTTATTATTACATCAGGTATTACTTGCTGATCTATGATGGTTTTTTGTACTTTTAATGCAGTCAATTGTGGTTTGATTTGTTCTTGTTTCTACAACACATCGTTATTAAAGTAAATGCTAAAGTATGCTTATCAATGAGATGACAGAATAAAACAAATTTACTTTTTGTGATGTTCCGTCAGTCGATGTTAATGGTATTCGTCTAGATTTGTGCATTGCTTTTGGACTAGAAGTGATTAACCGAGTCGTAGAGGATAATTGATCATCTTGTTGTGAATCATAAATACTGCTTCGATTACGATGAGACTGAAAAATAGACGATTAACAAAAAATACAGACAATACAAGATGAAAAATTTTCAAACATACTCTGTTTGCTTTACCCACTTCATCCTCCTTGTAATCTCCGTTTATAGATTTCTTTGGTTTATCTGATTGATTGTAAAACTTAGAGGAATCAGTAGATACGCGATGCGACTTTATTTTGGAATCTAAGAAAAGGTTTAAGAATCACATGTCACATTCTGAAAAAGAAAAATGACTTGTATTTCTCACCTGCATCTCTTGTAGATGTACGACTCGAAGGTTTATGGCTCACAGATGAACGAGATTCAGTACGGTCTCTACACGAAGTGAGTAAAAAGTGAAAAGCCATAATGAACACATATTACAATTTTTTTACCGTGATTGCTGTTCATCTCTTACAGCCGTTGCTAATTCATTTAAATCAAAAATTTTGTGAGTAGACATGCGACATAATTCTGCTCTTCCACGGTACTGAACAAAAAAAGGAACATAATATCGTAAGTTCACAGCATCACAACACAGTCATGAAATAACATTCTTATTGCATAAATAAAATCTTGACGAAACAAATACTACTTTATTTCAAATATTTCTTTTTATCAATTTTATAAGAGAAGAAAATGATTATAGTTAAAACATACTTCTTCGTATAATCTTCTTGCATCGTAACCAGCTGATGTTAATATAAGTACAATGATAATCGTAACCGAACAAAGACATAGCCAACAATATCGAAATTCCCATGATGGTCGAGGCAATATTTGATAACACACAGTTAAAACATTTTGTGGTATTCGAACAATAACTGGATAAGTCAAATAACCAATATTTGTATGTAAACTAATTACTTCCTCGACCAATGTAACCGTATAGTCTGGTTGATATCTAAAAAAAACAACAAGACTGTTGTAATTATTTCAGAAACAACTGAGTAAATTTGTTTGAATATACCTAATATTTAAATCATATTTTTCTTCTGGTCTCAGTACGATATTCGTACAATTTGTAACAGAAAATCCTTGTCCTTGACACGATGACTTTCCAAAATAAATATTATAAATAATTAGATCCATATTGCCCGGATTACGAAGTGGAACAACCTTTTGCACTATTGGATTAGCTTGTGCACCTTCAACACGAAGCAATTCTAAACAGAAAGACAAGTTTCTCACAATAAAATAAGAAAAAGATAGAGGACAAAATTTGTCAGTCTAGTGCATATTTAGTTAGACTGTACAGGAACAGGATGAAAACAAAAGAGCTTTGCTTACGATAATGTTCTGAATTCTATTACCTGAACAAAACTTAAATTGTTTATCGTTCATTTCCATAACCAGTGGATTTATCGATGAATCCGCTTTTTTGTTTCCAACTTGTAAATCACCACTTCCACACTCACCACGTAATCGTACTGATTCAATTATTGTCAAATTATTTCTAAATTTAATCAAAAAATAAAAGATAATACTAAGATTTTGTTTAAATGACAAATGATTACCGAACGACGAGAAATGTTTCATGTTTCGAACGTATTTGTGGTTTGTACGTAATCGTGAATGATACTTTTTCAGCTGGTTGTAGTGTAAATTTATGTGAGATACAAGGCACAGAAGACGACATCAAACTTGGATCAGTCTGAAAAGTACACATATAGTTATAAAATTCGTATAATAGGATAAAACGTTTCAAACAAACATACTGCACAAACATCAAATGGTACATCATCACTCGTGACCGTATTTATTTTATTAGTACTCGATGTTTCATAGATAATATTTAATAAACGTTCACTCTCCGAATAATTTGATATCAATTGAATATGATAAGACAAACTCGTTGTACTCAACGGATTTATTATCGTCAAATTTTGTGTCTAGAAAAACGAGAAGAATCGAAAATTAGTCAACTGATAAACAATACTACTTAAAAATCCAATTACCGTTGTGGTATTTACGTATGTTAAAGGAAAATCGATAACTGGTTCTTCGGCGTTGATCGATGATGAGAATTCGAATATACTAGGCCATTTAAAATTAATAATAATTGGCCATGACATATTTACGGTCGAAGACAAAAGCCATAATGATGAATAAATTCTAAATAGACAAATATTATAGACTAATTAGTGATGAACTTCAAATTTACCTTTTCCGGTTTAAAACTAATTGCCATTCTTTCCACAATTTTTTTAATTTAAAAAGTAAAAATTGATCTAAATCAAATGTATTTGTACTCGTTGATTGCCATTGTTGCTGATATTCCTGATGATAATTCAGGCCACAGTAACATGTGGACTCTGCAGCACCTGTAACACTACATAACGAACTCATATCGAATGTAAGATTACCAATCTGTTTTTAAAAAAGAAAAACATAAAAGTTCAATTACAAATGCTTCTTAATCTTGATCGGATAAGTTATTTTTTAATTATGATATTTACCTTGTGTGTTTTGTTTGGTTGCAAAATAAAATTTGTATTTTGATTATTCATCCATTGGAACGTAAAACAGTTTCCATACGGATGAAATTCAATTTGTTTGATCTCAATTGGATTTGAGAATGTACTACGAATTTTTATTTGTGATATAAACATTTGATTCTAAAAGAGAAAAAACAATATATTATAGTCTTCTTTAACACTTGTTAGAATAGTAGGACCGGAAACACATTGAACTGAATTTTATTCGGTGATAGATCTAAAGTACCATCAACAATATGGAATCGAATGTTTATTTGAAGAATCTAAAAGTAAATAATGAACAATTAGTTACGGACATATATAAGGATAGTCTGACTTTAAACTCCATAATTTATACAGAAAGCACTGGATACGAACACATCAAATAGTGCGTAGCTTAAACTAAATATGAGGCACGTGGTTATTTTCTGAATAACTCGAGAATGAAAAGTGGTAGAGACTTGCGATTTTTGTCATTCGATAGCCGAGGCTTTGGAGCATCCGTAAGCAGAAAGTTTTTTGAAATTGTATCTCAAAAACCGGTTGTCTGACGAATCATCAGAAAACCATTTCATAACCCAAAAACTTAACATAGCAATATATTATTTATTCAT